AGCGGTTGCCACCCACACAACCCAACCAGGGCCGGGGAGGGTCACCCTTATTTTAACATGTATCAGAATTTCATTCTTGTTTTATGGCTGAATAATATTCCACGGTGTTTATATATCACCTTTTGTGTATCCATTCGCCTGTTATTTGACACGGAGTCGTTGGCACTCTGTGACTATAGTGACTAATGCTGTTGTGAACATTGGCTTATTGTTTGAAGTACAGTGTGAAAGCTATGTTGTTGTCAAAACCAACATCCATGTTTTCTTTTTGTTATTTCAGGTGGCAGAAGCTTTTCAACACACGAGCTCTTAGGGTGGTCAGCATTAATAGTAACATTCAAATACTGTTTCCTACACGGAACTCAACATCAACGCGGATGCCTTCAGCACGAGATTGTTACATCAGATGGTGTGCAGTGCCCACAAAGGTAACAAATGTGCCCCCCTGCATGGTAACAACGCATCGACTTGTTTACTCACAGTTTACTGCCTTCTTAACAAGTTTTTACAAATTTAAAAGGAAGAAGGAATAACCGTCTTCTTACCTGTTGACATTACTACCATAAATTATAAAATATTGTTTATATGAGTAGCAAAGTACATAGCAGAATTAGGCAGACTTACTACTTTCCTTTTAAGAAGGAGTTTTAATTTCCTTTTTTAAAAAAAATCACTATGTATTGCTCTGCAGCAATAATTCAAATCCAACCTGAGAAGGATGTGGTAATAATGCCAAGATCAGTTTGCAACTGAACACACCTAAGTTTCTCTTCTAAGTATCAGGCGTAGCACATCAGAAAAAATGTGAGCAGTTCAATAAATTACCCAGAAATTGACGGGACCCCCTGCTGTAATTTGAGACTCTAAGTGTAAAATCTCTGTTCTAATAATTTTACAAACAGTAAAACGTTCCTAATGAAACAGAGGAAGCATATCCATGGATATCTGAAGCTGAAGAATAAATAAATGATCTCTTGTGGTCAAAGCCAATTACAAAAGGAAAATTACTGTTTGGAGGAAAGAGTCCTGAGCAACCGTAACTCCTCAGTGATCCACACGGAATCTGAAGTTACTGCATAGTACATGATTTCGCAGGGGAAATATGAATGTGAACCTGTCTTCAAGTTCAATCTTATTTTTTTTCTTTATTGATTTTAGAGAGAGAGAAAGGGAGAAGGAGAGAGAGATAGAAACATTGATGAGAGAGATCATCGATTGGCCACCTCCTGCATGCCCCCCACTGGGGATTGGTCCCACAACCTGGGCATGTGCCCTGACTGGGAATCAAACCGGCGACCTCTTGGTGCAGGGGTCGATGCTCAACCACTGAGCCACACCAGCTGGGCCAATCTTATATTTTTAATGAAGCAAAAATAAACAACCAAATATGAAGCTTTGGCATCTTCTTGATTTGTCAATAAATTCCAGGGGCGGGGGGGGGAGGGGGGACTGTCAACCAAAAAGTCAGGATAAGTTTGTGTCTGACTTTCTCCTCTTCTCTTCTTCCAAATCATCCTCTTCTGATGGCTCCTGCTAAGGAGGACACCTGACCCTCACTACTGGAAGCAATTTTTGACCAATTTTCTATTTTTACCCTGACTGGGAATTGAACTGGCAACTTGCTGGTGCACAGGATGACTCCTGACCAACTGAGCCCCACCAGCAAGGGCTCCAACCAACTTTCTTCTTTAAGTCCTTTCCTCTCGTCTTTGTTTACTGCTCTCCCTGTTGCCTCTCCTCTCCTCTCTCTCTTTTTTTTGTCTTTCTGATGCCGTATGAGCAGCTTAAGCATAAAAATCTAGTCCTAAGGACCATTGTTCACCTTTCTCTCTTTCCTCTCCCATAACTAAGCTCTGCCCCACCTTGTTGAGCTGCCTGTCAGTCTCCGTGCCACCTGCCTCATCACCTCCTGTCTGGTTTCACTACAAGGACGTCCCCATGGTTGGTCAGCTTGTCCTCCCCTTCCTGAGGCTGCCCTTCCCAGCAGACGACATCTGCATGGTTCCCTTCTAGCAAGTGCATGTGTTTCAGATCCCAACTCTTCCGGGTGGCTCTGAGGGCTCTGCCCTCGTGGGAGAGTCTCCCAGCGTCAGGAGGGGACGGGACTCAGGAGACCCGGGTCCTACTCTCACTGACCTCATGGCCTTGGGCTCTCTCTGGTGTCTCCAAGCCTCTGTTTCCTCACCTATAAAATGAGGATAATAGTAGCTGGCTGCCCCGTAAGACTATCTTAAGGTTTAAATAAGACATTCGGTGTAGCCCTGGCCAGTTTGGCTCAATGGTTGGACTGTTGGCCTGCGGACCGAAGGGTCTTGGGTTCGATTTCTGGTCAAGGACACATACCTGGGTTGCAGGTTCAATACCCAGCCCTCATTGGGGTTGTGCAGGAGGCAACCAAGTGATCTGTCTCTCTCCCATAGATGTTTCTCTCTCTCCCTCCCTCCCTTCCACTCTGTCTAAAAAAATAAAAAGACACTTGGTGTAAAGGAATGCTTAGCCCAGCCCCTCGAGCACGTGGTGAGGGGTCCTTGCTCCTTCCCACGCTGTTTCCTCTCCCGGACAGCGTCCATCCCCATCTCTAACCCGGACCCTCTCCTGGACCCTCCTCCAGAACCGCACCACGTGGATGCTCTGGGGAGGCCCCGTGAGAAGCCCCCTGAGGCCGAGACCCGCGGCTGTCCCTGGGACTCAGCACAGGCCTTCGCACGGGCTCGGCGATCTGAGGGTCAGACTTATTTTTATTCTCTTCTGTTTTGTAATTGCCACCCTAGAGCTCCCCCTTTCTCAGTTTAAAACCCTATTTCCCTGGTCCTGCTCCCACGTGGACCCCTTTGCTCCTGAGGACCAGGGCTCAAGCGGGGGAAGAAGCAGGGGGAGGGAGAAGACGGGGCTCAACACCCGTCTCCAGGTGCCAGTCCAGTTACGAGTGTCAAATATCCTCAAGCTTTCCCACGCCCTCTCCGGGCCCTGGGACAGGACAGCAGTGCCCCGGCCATGTGGCTCAGTGGCTGGAGCGGCAGCCCGGAGTGGACCGACCGGCGTGGGAACCGGGGCTGGGAGGAAGCGAGAAAGGAAGAGAAAGTGGGGAGCTCAGTTGTTAGAATTACTTAGGTCTCCCATGCGATTTCCTGTGTCGGTTCGCGCAGGGCAATGCAATTATCAGGTATTTTGAAAAACATCTTTGTTTCGAAACAAGGAAGCTGGGGTTATACAAATCACACTTGGTGCACTTAGAGGGTCAAGTTGCGACACCCAGGGCCAGCGCCTCTGGGGCAGACATTTCAACAGACCAGCGCGCTGGGAGACTGTCCCAGCCCCGTCCGTCTTAATGTTTTTGCTTTTGGTTAACTGTTAGCAGAAAGAGGCTGCACAGTGTAATACCGCACCAAGCAACGTTTATCAGCAGACTCCACGTCTGTCCCGTGGGTTAAAGCGGGGGAGGGTCTTTCGATCTTCCGAGCTGTGTGGAGTTGTCACCTCTCCGAGCCCAGACCCGCTGAGCACAGTGCGACCAGGGCGGCTCAGGCAAGTCTTTGCTTTTCCCTCTCAAGCTGAGAAAAGCCTGAAGGGTTTGGCTTCCACGAGGGGAAGAAACACGAGCTCAAGCTGGTGAGCCTTGGTAGGCTCAGAGGAACAGAAAGGTTGCCGCTCAGGACCCAAGAAATCAGATTGGACGGCTCCATGTTTCTTTGGATGAGCGACTGAAATACATCAGGCCTTTCGAAGGGACTGGAAATGTTAGGAGGTTAATGCCGGGGTGCCCAGTAAACACCGTCCTCCTGAGTTAAGGGGACAGAAAGCCCCGCGGCCGTATCCACGCAGTGTGAGCGCCTCCGACCACCTCTGTCCCGGGCCTCATGCCCTCCAGGGCCGACGACACTGGAGCTTTGCAGCAGACACCGCTCCCTTCCCGCGGCCTGTGTGCGCTGTCCCCCAGCGACCGCCACACACGCCCTCGGGTGCGCAGCGACTGACCACAGTCCGTTCTTTCAACAGCGGAAGCCCAAGCCCAGTATGTTCTTTACCATTTTCAAAACCAATTTCAAAAATGCCAATTCCATGTTAAAACATTTTTTGAAAACCTCACAACACCAAAGATTAAAATAAATGTAGGCCCTGGCCAGTGTGGCTCAGAGGTTAGAGTGTCAGCCTGCAGACCAATGAGTTGTGGGTTCGATTCCGGTCAAGGGCACGTACCTCGGTTTCGGTTCATCACCAGCCCTGGTCAGGGTCGTGCCAGAGGCAACCAGTCGATGTGTCTCTCTCACATCCATGTTTCTCTCTCTCTCCGCCCCTCCCACTCTATCTGAAGATAAATAGAAAAATGTCTTCAGGTGGGGATTTAAAAAAATAAATAAACAAACTAATAAATACATAAATAAAAAAAATAAATGTAGATTCAGTCTACCACTAATAGAAAGCATACCCATTTCTTTCTTTCTTTATCCTCACTTGAGGATGTGTTTTTAGTGATTTGAGAGAGAGAGAGAAACATCAGTGACAGAGAGAAACATTAATCTGTTGCCTCCTGTACACGCCCTGACCAGGAATTGAACCCACAACCTTTGGGTGCATGAGACAATGCTCCAAACAACCAAGCCACACTGACCACAGCAATAAAGTTGATTTTTTTTTTTTTATCCTCACTTGAGGACATTTTTCCATTTTTTGTTCAAATAGAGTGGGAGAGAGAGGAAGAGAGAGAGAAACATCGACGTGAAGGGACACATCGAGTGGCTGCCACCCACACGACCAACCAGGGCCAGAGACAAACTACAACAGAGGTACACGCCCTTAGCGGGAACTGAACCCGGGTCTCTTTGGACAGCAGGCCGATGCTCTAACCGCTGAGCCAAACTGGCCAGGGCTAAAGTTGATTTTTCAATGACAGTGACCTCCAAGTCTCGAGAGGTCGCTCCGTGGTAGGCACTCTGCAGACATGTGCCGACCGAGCTCGAACTTCGCCTTGGACCACACCCCGGGATTCCTGCCCTCCTCACCTGCCCTCGTAGCACACGGTGCACCTCCAGAGGGGGGTCTTGCTCAGGAACACGCGGCACCCGGAGCACACGCAGTGGCTGCAGCCCTGGCACACGGCGCCCCGGTTCAGCAGCAGCCCCAGAGCGCGCTGGCAGCGGGCACACGCCTTCTCTCTCTGCTCCTGGCCCGCGCTCTTCCCACCTTTCCACCGGAGATGCTGCAGGTGCGTCCTCAGTTTCCTGTGGCCCAGAGAGTTAAGTAAGATCCCATGGAGTAGAAGGCCCGAGGCCAGATACCCTCCTCCGCCGCCAGGGCCCCGACAGCACCACTGTGGCAAGACCCCTGGGCCCCACCACGAAGCTCAGAGTTTTCTCAGCTGTGAAACGGGGACGAGAGGACCCAACCTCCAGGTTGCTGTGAGGATGAGAAGGCGAAGCGTTAACAAGAACCTGGCACAGACAGTCAGCTGCTCGTTCGTTCTAGGCCCATCCCGTCGTGCCCAAAGGGCATGATAATGGCAAGAACAGCGAAAGAAGAGGGAAAATCCACAGGAAATGACAGTCATCCTAATATGCAAGGCACAGAAAGATCTACAACTGTGCAGCACACACGCCTGCTACTGTCCTTGTTCCCTGATAACGTCGTTTGACTGATGCTCGGCTCTGCTACTGTTCCTTTTCAGGGGCGGCCGGTACACTTCCAGCCCCCTTCCCCTAGATGATAGCCCCCTTCCCCTAGATGATAGCCCTCGTGCAAAGGGGTATTGCATCGGATCCCGAAGACGTGTCGTTAATCAGAACGCTCTCTCTGAATTCTGCTACCTGCTTTTATTTTTACCTATATACTTTTTAAATTGATTTTAGAGAGAGAGGAAGGGAGAGGGAGAGGGAGAGGGAGATAGAAACACTGATGAGAGAGAACATCGATTGGTCACTTCCCACATGCCCCTCACTGGGGATCAGACCCAAAACCTGAGCATGTGCCCTGACCGGGAATTGAACCGGTGACCTCTTGGTGCAGGGGTCAATGCTCAGCCACTGAGCCACACTGGCCAGGCGTCTGTTACTTGCTTTTAGAAGAGAGAAGCCAATTCCAAGAAACAAGCTGAAACTCCACTTTAAGGATCTGCCCTAGAATCAGGACCCTCAGGATCGAGCCTTCCCTACCCCTGGTCCATGCTCTTCGTGGCTGTCCGAAATGATGTTCTCAATCCCTGAGAGGGCTTGACCCCCAAGAACACCCTCTGCTCTGTGTGTTACAGTTCTCAGTGGAAGAAAGTAGAAGTCCATTGAGAGAGTTTGGGGATAACAGGTGAGGCTAGAAAAAGACCTTGTGCCTTCCAGGTGAGCAGGGGACGCCCCTCATTCTCAAGCATCTGGCTGTCCGAAGCTTTACTTCATGCGTGTATTTTTCCTGGCAGACTGAATGCGTTCCGTCATAAAATCAAAACCAGACCCAAAGCCTATCCCATTACTTCTTTTCTGGACCTCACGTCCTGTACACACCGACAAAGCATCGGCATCGAGTCACATCTCCTGAATCCACGTGAGGATGGGTCGTGACAGCTGCCGACGGGCACCCTTGGGTAACAGCCTCGCCCGGCTTTGTTCAGGGTTAACTCGCAGCAGACCGAGAGCACAGACAGCCCAGGCGAGACGTTCCCTCCTGCCAGCCAGCCGGAACGGGCCGAGCAGGTTTGCTGTCCCTCCCTCACCGCCCGCTTGGAACCACAGTGAGCAAGAGGGACCCAGGAATGGATCCCAGCAGACCGGCTGTTTCTAAACTGCTTTCTCTGCTTGTCCATTGCCTTTGGGACCCACCAAAAGCAACCGAGGAAACCTCCCGCCAGAGGGCTTGCCCGAGGGCTGTGCTAGAACCCTGTCAGCTTCCCTAGAGTTATTCCTGCAAAGGAAGGGAACTAACCACCAAAACAGGCACCGTTTTACGTGAATAACAAAAGCAGCCTCAGTGTCCCTTCCTGTCTTGGAGGGTGAGCTAGACAGGAAAGGTGGCCTCCACCCACCGCCCATCACTGGGCCCTGGTCACACCAGAGGCCGAGGTGTAAGCAAGGGGCCATATGCCAAGTTCGGAGGAGCAGGCTCTCGGCAGAAAAAGCCAAAACCCCGAGGACTGCGCCCCTCCCAGTGACAGCGTACCGTATCCGCTCCTCCTCGATGCTTTGAACCGCCTGGTCTCGGTACAGGACCTGGAGAATCACCTCCCGGTCTGAGTCCTGGAGGGAATTCAGGCTGACTTCTTGGGCCATGCCTGTCTTGCTTCTGGGACCCACGGTGACGCTTCAGTCCATGGCCCAGCGCCCGGCCTGGGGTGAGCCGAGTCCAGCCGCGCCCACGCTGGGGAAGGCGCTCCTGCTCCTAGTTCCCTGCAACCCTGCTGCTCCTGGCTCCTCTCTTCCTTCTCCGCCGTGCCCCTCCTCACGAGAAAGCCCGAGAGGCTGTCCCTCTGCTGGAGTCGTGGTGCTGATGGCCTCATGCCACCCGGGGAGCGCTCTCCTGGGTCCCACCGCAGCCGCTGACATGCATCTGAGACCAAAGCATACCTCTTTCTGAGGTGTTGCCAGAGCGTGCTCTAAATTATGCACGGATCCACGCAGATGAGGTCTGCGAAGTATGCACGGATCCACGCAGATGCGGTCTGCGAAGTGTGCACGGATCCACGCAGATGCGGTCTGCGAAGTGTGCACGGATCCACGCAGATGAGGTCTGCGAAGTGTGCACGGATCCACGCAGATGAGGTCTGCGAAGTGTGCACGGATCCACGCAGATGCGGTCTGCGAAGTGTGCACGGATCCACGCAGATGAGGTCTGCGAAGTATGCACGGATCCACGCAGATGCGGTCTGCGAAGTGTGCACGGATCCACGCAGATGCGGTCTGCGAAGTGTGCACGGATCCACGCAGATGCGGTCTGCGAAGTGTGCACGGATCCACGCAGATGAGGTCTGCGAAGTGTGCACGGATCCACGCAGATGCGGTCTGCGAAGTGTGCACGGATCCACGCAGATGAGGTCTGCGAAGTGTGCACGGATCCACGCAGATGAGGTCTGCGAAGTGTGCACGGATCCACGCAGATGAGGTCTGCGAAGCAGACGGAATCCCCGATCTGAGGGGATTTACGAACAGCAATAAGGAGAGGATCAGCGATTTATAGCAGCTAACTGTCCCCTTCAAACATGTTCAGGTCACTGGGAATGACAATGAAAAGCCCAGTCAGCTCAATACCTGTAGAAAAGACAATAAAAGCGGCATCAGCACTCCTGGGCTGAGTATCTCTGCAGCATTACTTCAGAAAAGACAAATGTGCCCTGGCTGATGTGGTTCAGTGGTTAGAGCGTTGGCCTGAGCACCAAAGGATCGTGGGTTCAATTCCTGGTCAAGGGCAGTTACCTGGGTTGCAGGTTCAATCCTCAGCCCAGCCCCCATTGGAGAGCGCACAGGAGGCAACCAATCCATGTGTCTCTCTCACATCAAGGTTTCTCCCTCCCTCCCTCCTTCCCTCCCTTCCACTTCCTCTAAAAATCAATGAAGAAAATGTTCTTGGGTGAGGATTAACAAACAACAAAAGAAGACAAAATGTTCTGCACACACAGACCTTTGCATTGTCTGCTATGGTGCTATTGTAAAATGTTCAATTTTACTAAATTGGTTTTCTCAATGTTTCTAAAAGCCTCAAACTCCCAAGCTTGAATCTTCTAGTCTGAATTCTGCATGATCCATGACTAGCGGTATGAAGGTCTGTGTTTCATGCACACCCTCCTAATTGAAACACATTAGCAGAACAATGTTCTCAACTGCTAGCTATTATTTTCACAATTAATTTCAAAACTAAAAAAAAAAAAGTAACCCATTAGGGAGGTCTGAAAGGACATATGCAGCCTCAATCCATCAGTTACATGTGGTCCTTCAAGGTTGCACTGGCTGCCCTGTGCACGGCATCTTGTTTCTGTTTGATGCTAGTTGAAAGGTTCTGCCTACGTTTTTCCTATGTTTATTTTCAATTAGTGACCTAAGGCAGCCATCAATTTCAATGTTTCTCCCCCCAAACCAAGAAGATGGCTATGAATTGATAAAACATTGGATAGATGCATAATGATAAAATGCAGAAACTGTAACTGATCAAATCAATATACTTTCTATAATGCCGTTTTGTTATCAAATCTACATGACTTCCTTAGTAGTAAGACTTCCTTTTAATGCTTCAACAGGAATCCACACTATATTCATTTATGATCCATAGCAAATCGATGAATGAGAGGTTAATGAAGCCCCAAGGGGTCATTCTCTTTAAGCAGTGATTCTCAACCTTGGTTTTTAGATCTTTGTATTTAAAGATGAATAACCGTCCATATTTAAATGCATAAAATAAAATACATTGAGCTGCAAAGAAAATCAATTATACTGAAATATTTTTTCAATTATATTATAGTAATAAATGTGTTCATAGATTTCTAAAATAATGAGATCTAGCAGTGATCTAATGAATACCATAATTTCAAAGTAGAGATGATTCTAAACAATATTTTGAGATATCTGTAATATACAATGGGGTATGAAAATATCTATGACTTCTTTTTTTAATATGTTTTTATTGATTTTTTAGAAAGAGAGGAAGGAAAAGAGAAATAGAAACATCGATGTGAGAGAGAAACATCAATCGGCTGCCTCCTGCACGCCCTCCACTGAGGATCGAGCCTGCAACCCGGGCATGTGCCTGACCAGGAATCAAACTGGGACCTCTCGGTCCATGGGACGATGCCCAATCCACGGAGCCACACCGGCTGTGCAGAATCTGTGATTTCTATGGGCAACAGTCACAAGTCCTGTTCATTGTGGTTTGATGCCTTTCATAACTGAAGGAAATGGTAAGCTTTAGTTAGAAGTAAATAAAGATGTAATTTTCCCCCCACCTAAGTCCACGGGCTTATGGGCTAAGGACCCCTACGTTGTCAGGGTCTCTACTGTAAGAGGAAGTGAAAGCACAGTGCTCGCCCAAGGGCAGAGGCTGCAGGAGGAGGGGAAGACGAGGGCTCTGGGAAGGCCGCTCTGGCCTCTAGTCTTCGGGAAGTCTCACGCGCGTCTGCAGGGAAACGACACAGTGACGCGGACCCTGGGCTCTGGCAGCCCGGCTGCTCGGCTGCTAACGCACTGTGCACCAGGGTGACGCCTCGTCCCTCCTTGGTCCCCAGTTCCTGTGGGAACAGATGGCACTAGCAGATCTCAGGTCCTGGAGCCTGAGTCCTGGCAACAGAGGACAGTGATGTCAAACAGCGTGCAGTCGAGTGCTAAGTGACAAGGCACAAAGCAGCCATCACGACACCAATGTTAAGCGTCGATTTCTGTGGTAGGCAGTTAGGCAGACATGAGCAGAGCGAGGATAATAAGCCAGATACAGAGGTCACCAGGGGGGAAGCCCTGGGTGCCTAGCAACAGACAAAACTGGGGAAACAAGGACCTCGCCCCCAGGGGACCTTATCCCCTCTAGCGTATCACTGGTCATGCGGTTCAGACCCCATGACCTTTCCTTCCCTGGCCTGTCGCTAGTCATGCAGGTTAGACCCCTAGACGGGAATGAACGAGAGGGAACCAGAGACTAGCCCTTAACCATGAAGTCCCCAGGACAATGAGGTTCTGACCCACATCAGATACATCCACGCCTCAGTGGTGTTTCAGCTCCAGGCCCAGAGAAGCAGCAAAACTAGACGAAGGGAACTCAGGACCAGCTGCACTGACTAATGACCCCCTGCCTGATACCAGCCAACCTGTGGAGACCTCGATCCCGAAAGGACACACCCGGGAAGCTGATGAATATTCTATTGAGATCCTCAGCTGGGACCTCCCCTAACCCCACCCCCACCCCCGCCTTTAAAAACCCTGAGGACCGGAGCACCCAGGGCACGGTCCCTCTGGGAGCACACCTGCACCCCCCCCATTCCCCACCCCAGGCAAGGTACCCCTGAGCCCATTTCATCTACCTCTCACTCCTGCCTCTGTGACTCTGTAAAGGAACTTTCTCTTACAGTCTGAGTCTTGGGGTCTTTCCTAGCCAGCCCCCCCCATCCGCCCGACACCTGGTGCCGCTCTGGCCACCTCACCGCCGCCAGTATTCTAAACTCGCTCGGTTCTCCTTGCTTTCTTATTTCACTGTTACCCATGCCACTGGACCACGAATCATGCAGCGTGTCTGGCTCCGATGTATTTTACAGGAAGATTTCTGCATTAGGCTCACAACACGTGCTCTATGCTTTGAGCTTGTTCCTGTGGCTTCTGTGCTCACGGCCTGGCTCATCGGGCAGAGCCGTGCTGGACATGACCCCAGGGGCACTGAGGGAACCCTGAGCACCCAAATGTTCACTCACTCAGGTGGCCAAGTCTTACACGCTTCAGAAGGTCAGAATTCAGCTATCCCCTAAAAACTCCAAGCCTCGGAGAGCCCTTTCCCTGGATAAGAGGAGCTCAGCCTCCCCCTAGCGGCCATTCCCTGCCACTTACAGAAAAGTGGAATTAGTTCCTTTCCGGATCCACCCATTCACTCAGTAAATTGTTTATTAAGCACCTTTCAAGAGCCAGGCACTGCTCAGGTGCCTAGGGTCCATGACTGGCCATTTGCACCCACCCTGCTTCTAACAAAAACGGGATGCAGCTCACGATGAACGCACGTAAGAGGACGACTCCGATCGAGTCGGAGAAACACCAGCCGCCGCAGTGAGGGCAGATGGCCCTGCCAGGAGCCCGCGGTGAAGTGAGGTGCTCGGGCGGTGGATGCATTTCTGGCCTAGCGAGCAACACAAAAGAAAGCAGAACGGAGCAAAACAAACATCAGCGTGGGACTTGGTGCCAACAAACTGACAGGGAGCAAGGGCGTTCTCGAGGTGAAAACACAGGCTGAGAATAGTGTTCTACGTGTGCAGGCACCTGACAGCTTCGCTGTGTCTTCCAGCGTGGCTCCCAAATGTGAGTGCACGTTACGTGCTTACAATTTACTCTCCTTTTTTTTTTTTTATCCTCACCTGAGGACACTTTTTCGTTTTTTGTTCAGATAGAGTGGGAGGGAGAGAGAGGAACAGAGAGAGAGAGAAACATTGATGTGAAAGGGACACATCGAGTGGTTGCCACCCGCACGACCAACCAGGGCCGGGGACAAACTGCAACCAAGGTACATGCCCTTAGCGGGAACCGAACCCGGGTCTCTCTGGACCGCAGGCCGACACTCGAACCGCTGAGCCAAACCGGCCAGGGCTAATTTACTCTCCTTTTATTTTCCCTCTTATCACAGCAATGACATTATCATTGTCATCATTGTTAGTGCAGCTAGGTTATATTATGCGTGAATTCTATTTCCAGAAAGTAAAAGGTAAACTACAGACATTTCCCATAAAGAGTAAACCTTGAGTCTCACAGGTTTAAGAACCACCGACTTAGAGGATCCAGTAATTTCTGAGGTCACAAACAAATTAAACCATATAATTCTCTTGTTCGTTTTCTGGTGTATCATTGGTCTGTGGGAGAACGGGCCAGGCAGACAGAGCGCTGGTGGGTCACTGTTGTCTCAGGCTGTGTGGGTTTTGGCTTCAGTCTGACTGCGTATGGAATTTCCGGTCTGACTGCCAGGTTACAATGAAGAGCTCAGAGTTCTTCTCAATAGAAAGGATCTTGATAATTTCAGCCGCATCTTTCAATCCTACTGAACAGAATCCGTTCTTTCTGCACTTCATCCCTGTTGGACTGGCATTTCAATTCCTATATGTTTGGTATCGACTGCCAACCTGGAGATTTTACTCTGTGATCCAGCTTCCAAATCACTCAACAATGAGCCACAAAAATTCCAAGACAGGGTGGCCCCCCGCTGACCCATGGCGATACTTGACTTATTTGTAATTTTTCTTTTTCTTTTTTAGTGAACCTCTTAGTTACTGGAGGTGTGTTTCTAGGGCCCCAGATGGAGTCAGTTAGGAAGCAACAGGGCCCATGAGCAATCCCAGGACAGTGGGAGAAGGACACCCCCCTGCCGGCACCAGGCAGACAGGGCACCCTTCACAGACTCCGTTTCTGCTCACCTGGACTAGCTGGGAACGAGAGACCACGCTGGACTGTTCATTGTAACCTTCAAATCATGGATAAAACAAACATCTCTGTTGGATGCTCTCGATGTTAGCGATGTTTTGGAGTTGGAAATGGAGGTGGTAATGCTCGCGTGTTCCTCGCACTGTGCCAGGTATCGCTGT